CAGTTCTTGGCCTTCTCCCGCAGGGCAAGGTGTTGTGCAGTTCCGGTCTCAAGTGGGGCCATCATGACCCCCAGGGTCCGTTCAGCTTCATCGGGTTGGAGGCGTCGTAGTGTCGCCCACGGCCCAGGAGGGTCTTGGAGGGTCAGTTCGCCAGGCATTTCAGCCTTCCTGCAAAACACCCAGGTGCCAGAGGACGGCCGCCATTTGAAATCAATCAGCCACCAGAAGGACTTCGCCGGGTTGATAGCTCCACCAGTGGCACTGATGCCACCCGACCAAAGGTCCAAAGCCGACTGTACCGAAGGAAGGAGGTCTTCGCCAGTCGTCTCCACGTTGTTGTTTGACTCCATGACATCGGTGTCATCAACAAAGCAGAAGCACAAAGCGAAGAACTCCTTGTTGGTGAGGGCAGTTTGGCTCTTGTACCCAAATCCCTCGGCCTCCATGGCGTCAATGAGGATGACACTGATTGCAACCCAGATGCACGGGCCTGCGCCATTGCCTTGACCGCAGCCCTGGAAGGGAACATCGCCCGTGGGCCCAAAGGTCCGATCCGAGTCGCCAAAGCCAGTTCGGACCCTGTGTTTAGCCTTTGCCAAGATATCAAACATTAGGTTGGTGACAGTGACCGGCAGGCCGAATCTCCGCAAGGCCGTCTTCGCTACCCAGTGAACAATGCGATCGAAGCAAGACTTCGCGTCGTTTGAGATCCAGCCGGAAGACCGTCGTTCCAGGATGAGCGAGTCCCAGATCAATCGTTTGGAAAGGGCGAGATCAATGGACTGGTGCTGCTTTCGTGACCCACACTGTCCTTTAGGGATGATGTCATCCTCTTCAGCATTCTTCATTGCAGCCCGACCCGCCTTCTTGTAGTTGGCTTGAGCCTCCGAGTTGAACAGCTGGATGGTCCGCATCCCTTGTGGGCGGAAGTCACCAGGCTTCTTCTCAATCGCAAAGTTCATCAGGTTCTTCCAGAGTTCCGGAACATGGCCTGAACGGAGTGGAAGGTCCCAAAACGCCGTATCGCAAGAAGCCAACAGTTCCAAGAGGGCGCCTGCCTTTAAGTGGCCATTATGGAGGCCGTGGGGCTCAGAACCCTTGTTCTCAGGAGTGCGACTTCAAAAGTCCACGTGCTCTTCAACCGTCAAGGGGAAAGGACGAGACCGGTAACTGTCGTGCAGTCGACAGTGGCGAAGGAAGGCTTGGGTAGGGTAAGCCAGGCCACCAGGGATGGGGAGTTTGCCCTCCAGAAGAAGTTGTTGGTTGTTGTCGGCGTCAGGGCCCGTGAAC